ACAAATAAATAAATAAATTACCAATAAATTGTCAATATTTTTCTTGTTCAAAAATTATTAATTTGCCTAGGTTCACTGACATAAAGAGGCATTTGGACTTCTAAGTAAATCCATTGTAAGCTTATTCTCAGCTGAAGCTCAACTCTACTGTAGAGTTGAATTTTACCATAGCGCCTACTCCAAATCTCAGCTGACCGATTGAAATACTGAAATACTGAAACTATCACTATCACTACTGATTGAGCTAAAATCAGTTATTTCGGGATCTTTCGCTATTTGATTGTCAATATTTTTCTTGTTCAAAAATTATTAGTTTGCCTAGGTTCACTGACATAAAGAGGCATTTGGATTTCTAAGTAAATCCATTGAAAGCTTATTCTCAGCTGAAGCTCAACTTTACTGTAGAGTTGAATTTTACCATAGCGCCTACTCCAAATCTCAGCTAACCGATTGAAATACTGAAATACTATCACTATCACTACTGATTGAGCTAAAATCAGTTATTTCGGGATCTTTCGCTATTTGTAGATTGGAAAATACTGTAAATTTTCCACACTCCAGGCGTTTCAGCATAGTTAAAAGTTGTATTTTAGGGTGGGTCCTATAATAATATTGCACCTGTCTATAGAAAAAAAGCCATAGAAATTAAAAAAACAAATGATTTACTTTGAAAGAATATGAATAGGATGGGTTTAAATTGTTGAAAGTATGATAGTTATGAAAAGTTTCGGTGATTAAAACGGAACCGTTATTTTTCACTTCAATCTAAAAATTATTATTTAGTATATTATTTAAATAATTTTGAAAATAACTATTAAAAAATCGAATAAAAATAACTCGTCTTACTTCATACATCGGTTGTCGTAATTGCTGAACAATAGATTCACCTTCAATCGGAGATTTCCATGCAATCGTAACTCCACCATCCTGCACTCCTTCGATTCTCAAATCTTTTACAAGCATTGGGGCAATAGGTCTGCAAATTATTTATTGTTTTAGTCCTGGATAAATTTTGCAAAATTGTAAAATTTATGTAAATCAGATGTACTTGTAGAAAAAAAATCCCTCTTCAATCCCTAAGAGTGGTATGAGTTGAGTGGTTTTCTTCTACCTCAAGTCCTCTAACAATCTAAAAACTCCTGGTTCTGCGCAGTATTATAGTTGTTCCTAGTAATGCGCTCTGGATGGAGATCTCTAACACTGTTTCTAGAATCTGTTAAAGCCACTTTTCTAGTTTAGAAGTAACATTCCCAAGTGCTTCAATTATTAACGGGACTACTTTGGTCTTCACTTTCCACATTATATATACATATATATAATATCAGGAGCTGAAAGAGGAAGACGTGGAAAATAAGGGCCAAGGTGATGCCAGTGGTAATAAGAGCATTAGAGACCGTGACCTCTAAGCCAAGTTAGAAATATGACTTCAACAGATCCCAACAAAGACATTAGAGATCGAAGGGAATTACTAGGAACAGCCAAGAAACTGCGCAGAATCCTCAAGGAAGGAATTCTTTCTTTTATAGATGTATATATATATATATATTTCAATCGATTATATTCTTACCTTGTAGTAAATTCGATGAGCGCGTATTGACTAATTTCAGGAGCTATTTTTGAAATTTGATTTTCAGCAAACACCATGACTGTATAAGTCATTCCAGGTCGAAGACCGGAGAGTTCAAGTCGCTTCTGAGTGAATGTATTTTCAGATGGCTTAGCAATAGTTTTTGGCGGGCACGACGAACATTGATAACGGTACCATAGCTCCTAAAATTAATCGAAATTTGCTAATATTATAATTTGAAATTATAATATTAGAATTCAGATTTATTATTATATTAGATTTAGAATTCAGAATTTCACTAAATTTAATCCAGAATTGTCGAAAAGAATTCGTTCGATTTTTAGTTTCAATTAATTAAAATCACCTTTCGACCGCCTAATATCAATGGTTCATCCCATTCAATTACCACCGATGTTTGTTCAATCTCCACAGTTGCCAGATTAGATGGTTTCGATGGTGGTTCTGTAGTAGATGAAGAAAAATTATTGGGCTCACTACTGAGTATTAACAATAATTCTGGATAATAGGATTAGGTAGACCGAACACAATTCATTATTAAATATACTAGCAAATTCACAAATTGCCCTCAAAAACAACGAATTTCAGCTTGTATCATTTGCTAAAAATGTAAAATTTGCTAAAAACGTAAAACGTAAACATAAAAGTTTTATAAAAACTGACGTGAGCATCCATCGTGTATAGTTTCATTGATTGCTCGATAATAACCTTCGTCACACTGGCAGTTAGGACTTCCAATTTTTGGAGATCGAGAATGTGCTGGACATATTCGACATTCTCCTTCCCCTGCCACATCCTTATAAGTTCCCAAAGCACAAGCTGTAATACGATATTTGAAATAAATATATTCATTAGCTGAACGTTATTCGCAAAATTCATCTCCAAAATTATATTTTTTATTC